CTGGGCAGCAGATAGGCAGCTTGGGATAGCAGCTGCCACATCACACAGCTGGGCACTAAAGAGCCAAGCACCATCACGGGAAAAACAGTGCCCATCATAGGTCTTGGCTGCGGATGTAGGTAGGTTGGTAGTAGGGACCCTTGAGACCTGACTGCAGAGCTGTGATTGCTGGTACCTGCTGACAGGTTTCTGGGCTCCCTTGCTGTCCAGCTCTGCCATGTTTCTCTTTTTGTTGCCCACCTTCACAGAGATACAGCAGCAGAACACAAGAAATACAAGAAAATAGATGAATCAAATCCTCTTCTAGAAGTCTCTGCTGAGTTTGAGGCTGTTCTTTCTTGCATTTGATACGTGCAGAGACTGCAGCTGACATCCAGTACAAAGACAGCTGCCACCATGGGTCACTGTGTAACATATATTCAGCAAGAACAGAAATCAAAGAAGGGCATTGCAGTTAAAAGATGTAATGATAGAGTTTATTTCTGAGGAGTGGCTGATGTTCCAGAAATATTTGCAACCAGCTTATTTTATAAAATGAGTTATGGAGCTTTTAATGTTAAATTAGAAGGCAAAATCACAGGGCAAGAGGGGTGAATGGTTATGATTTTGTATTTTGGTTTTTAATCTGTTTTTCAGCTGGTTCTGCTTGCATACTGTGCCTGACCTGAGCTGATGCAGCCTTTTCTGTCACTTTAGCAAGGTTCTTGACCCTGATACTGCATCTAATTATGTTGGGTTGGTTGTTTTTGGGGAGCTGCCATCTAATCTGCTCCCTGTCGGCCCCTGCAGATCTTCCACATGACCTACGATTTGGCCAGTGCGGTGGTGAGGATCGTGAACCTGATCGGGATGATGCTGCTGCTGTGTCACTGGGACGGCTGCCTCCAGTTCCTGGTGCCCATGCTGCAGGACTTCCCTGATGACTGCTGGGTGTCCCTCAACCGCATGGTGGTAAGTGCTGGTCCTCGGTCCCACCGCTGCAGCTCCCACCTCCCAGCACTCACATGCCATCCATCCCCCAGATTCCCATTCCCCCACCTCCCCTAGGGCCTTCCTGCACCATGCTGCCGCAGCGCTGTGGGCACGGAGGCGCCTTGGAGGCAGATCCTGCAAGGAGAGAGTGCCAAGGCTGCGGAGCAGGACCGGCCCCGGCGGAGGTGGCACGGGCTGCTGCCTCGGAGCACAGGAGCCAGGCTCCCCCTCCTGGCACCGAGCAGCAAGGAGAGAGGGTGGGAACGGCTTTCTGCTGGAATCTGGGCACAGGGGGTCCTAGAACCATAGCTGGGGTTGATCCATACTTCCCATTACTGCTCCCAAGGAAACTGTTAAGCCTTCTGCTCCACATCCACCTGAAGGGTCTCTGTGATCACCCACCCTCCTCCCCGGGTTGCTGCACAGCATCCCATCAAAAAGGGCAGGAACAGACTGTGCTGAGCCACAGTTCAGCTCCCATCAGGGCATGAGGAGCAACTGGCCAGTGCCATCCCGAGCTGTGCTGCCTGCTCTGCTGTTTGCTGTGAGGGAGCTTCATACCATATGGGAAATGCACAGGGAGTTCATGGCACCTTTCAACCGTCTTGCTGAGAATTCAGAATCTTTTATTCAAAGGGACAATGTCCAGTTGATTAAGCAGCAAAACCTGACAAAGCTTAAAAAATTGCCTCTTATTGCAGCTCTTAACCTCCAGATTCCCCCAGCCAATTTCTTCTTAAAAAAAGGAAATAATCAGGCACTCGGGCAGAACAGAACAAATGTAAAATGTCTAAAAGCTCTGCCAGCTCACCATGCCTCCCACATGCAGAGCTGTGGGCACATGCTGCCCGTGCCTGAGAGGGGTGAGCAGCCATGAAAAACTCCTCTGTTTGGTGTTTATGTATTCATTTCTTCCCTTGCAATAATCATTCATTTCCTGCTGCTGAAAGGTGCCAGACTGACAGTTCTGGAGACCAGAACCCTCTATTTATCTCCAACAGAAGAACAACCCATGCAGCAGCTGCTTGTCTTCACCCTATTATTTAGATGGCAGGAGCAATCAGAGATCAGGGCCCCATTGTGCTTGTGCTGCTCAGGTCCAAAGGGACATGCAGCTCCTGGGCCTGGGGAGCTCAGAGGTGTAGGCAGAACTCATCCTCATCCCAGGAGGTGACTTGGCCATGGTGCCCTTGCAGAATAGCTTCAGAGCAGCAGTTTTGAACCATGTTTCCCTTATCCTAACATTTGGCTGATGGCAATAAGTTCTATTTGCTCTTCCCATCCATCTCTAAAGGAAGAGGTACAAGCTGGGATTGCAGCTACCGCCAAGGAGAAGAGGCTTGAAAGGTGGCAGGAGACAGGACAGAGGAAGAAAAGGTTCAGCTTAGGCAACTCTCTTAGCAGCAAGACTAGGGAGAGGGGGAAAGATGCATTCCAGAGGCAGGAGAGCTCAGCAGTCTCCAGGAGGGGCAGGGTGGAAAGCTTTTATCCAGAGCAGAGCTTTACTCATGCTGCAATGCTTGTCTTCCCAGCCTTGAGAGCCTGTGAAGCTGGGAATTAAACTGGCCTTGTGTGATTTTTTCCACTTCTCCTCTGCAGCTAATTCACCTTCACTTTTTCCACTTAATAGAAGTGAATTTTTTTATTATTATTATCTCAAAAATGAAGCCTCAGGAAACTGGGATAAAGAACTGGAGAGCTGATTACATGCCCCACCTATAGTTCAGGTGGCATCCACTCCAGAAGCTGTACAGGAATATACCAGTCCCAAAATAGCTTGTGTTTAGAATATTTAACAAAGAGAATAATTAGTTCTTCTGGAATCAGATAGTTTTTTCTCACAATAATGTCCTCTAATCTCCTGAGAAGATTTCCAGATGTATCATGGGGACCACTGATGGATGTGGATGGCATTATTAGTCCATCAATTTACGAATAGTCTATAGTGAAGTAATAGGAGAGGCCACTGGGTCAGGCAACAACAAGAAACTGCAGGTCTGGACTCTTCTCAGACTCTGGTGCCAAGATCTTGATGGAAGTTTCCAGAATGGCTCTGTTTTAGAGCTGTGATGGACAGGGTCGGGAGGGGAGAGGCCAAGATGGCATCTCTATGTGACAGGGCACCAGTAGGTTGGATTTGGGGACATTCTGTACTGACCTGGTCACAGCTTTGAGGAGATAAATATACTTAGTGCAGGACTGCCCTGATTACACACAGGAGCCACAAAGCTGGGGTGGAACCACTGTAGGAAGTAAAAAGGAATCTTCTGGAGCTGCTATAGCCAAGGGGAGCTGAAAGTTAGGTGCCAAATGCTTTGGAGGCTTTCTCCTCCAGTGTGCTGCTCTTCCACTGCTCCAGGGTTTCCCTCCTAGTCACTTGGCAGCCCATAAAACCAGCTCTGATTTCCATGCAGCAAAGAAAGAAGATTCATCACCTCCCATCTGCCTCCTAAAGGTTTGATCCTCATCCAGGGGATTTGTGAAGGGTCTGATGTTGCCAAAATCATTTCAGGGGTTTGATAAATCCCCGAGTCCACTTCATCTTGATGTTTTCTACATGAACCGTGTTCCATCTTTAGCAGTTGTAGAAGGAGTTGGTCTCTGGATGACTTCTGAAATGGCAGGGAAGGATGTTTTCAGTATTAATTGTTCAGCCTCAGTCCCAGGGGCTTCAGCATTAGCTTCCCTGCAGTGCACTTTATTAAAGACTGGAAGCACTGGTGAGTCAGCCGCGGAGCAGCGTGTGTGCGGGCAGCATCGGCCCCTGAGCCCCTGCCCTGGCAGCTCCTCACAGAGAAACCTGAGCTCTGCTGAGGCCTGAAAGCTGCTGGAAACACGTGGCTCTCTCCCTTGGGTGTTGTGCTGAACTGATAAACCCTGCACGGAAGGCAAATATCCCCGTGGCAAATGCAGGGACCTTGCACGGGAAATACTGATCATCCTCCTTTCCACCAGAAGGAGAGGAGCTTCCTTCTGAGCTTATACCCCCTCTCTGCAGCAAAACACTTCCTTGTGCTACTGGTGATAGAAAGAAGGAAGAAGAACAGATGCAGCATGTGTTATGGCAGACAGCAATCCTGCATGTGTGATTCCTAACTCCCCCCAAGCCTTTGGTCCAGTAGATCCCTCCTGCCCACCCTTCAGTAGGCACATGAATCTGTGTAGCAGGTTATCATGTTCTGTAAAAATCTGTCAGGGAGCAGCAAGAGTAGGGCTGTTCCATGATGGGATGTGAGCCAGGAGCCAAGGGTGACAGGCACTGCCCTTGCTAAGGCACAGTTCTACCAGTCCAAAGTAGAGTGGGCCCACAGAACTGCTGATAATGGTGACCATTCTGGTGAAGGTAGAGTGACAGTCATGTCCAGGGTCTATCCCAGGAGTCCTGTCAGGATCAGGATGAGATGGGGTCAGAGGCAAGGCTGGAAACAAGGCTGAAGCTTACAGTCAGGGCTCAGGACATGGGTACAGTGAGCTCAGGCAAGGTGGTGGTGCCCAGACCTGAGCTGAAATGGAGCTCCAGGAGCACTGGGTGCATGGATGAGGGTCCCAGGCAAGGCTGTCTGGGGCACTCAGAGTCCTGAGAAAATCCCTGCTGGCAGGTGAGGGCCATGTGGAGCTCTCCTTGTAAACAGGCCTAGAACAGGCAGATTCTGGCCAAGACGGTTTGATCTATCATCTGCATTTCTTCCCCCACTACTCCCACCCTTTGAAGTGGATCTGGAGGTGTTTTCCCGGCCCAGCAGTTCCAGCGCTGTCCAGGGGAGGGCAGGGATGGCCAGAGCCCTTATTTCACAACTTGACCTGAGTGCAAGTGCTGTAGCAAACCCCAAATAACAAGACTGTGGCCAGTTCAGATCACTGCTGGGGCAAATGTGGGAGCACCCAAGGCTGAAATACGCCCTTTCATTACAGACAGCACCTTAGTTCTCTGAAATGTTAGTGGTTTAAATCAGGTGTAACATTATGCCCATGGACTATGCCCCTACCCCAAGAACTTCCATTGCTTCTCTGTGTCTTTACTGCTCTCTCACAAGACTTCTCCAGTGAGGATTCAGCCAGACACACTCACATTTACATCAGAACCAGAACATCGTATAAGACACCTTATTTTTCCTTTAGGTGCTTCTGTAAGGTACCACAGAACCCAGCACTGTCTTTGAAGAGTTCCAGGAACATGTCTCCAAGTATTCAAAGGTGGATCTGAGCAGAGGCATTGCAGTCCAGACTCTAATCCCAGAGAAACCCTTCTAGCACTGCCAGTGTGGATGTTTAAAACAAGCTAGTCTGAGAAACTGCTTCAAAGTCAGTTTAAGTCTCTTTTGCAAACATTCCTAGTGCCTGGCATGTGTCTGAGCTAACATCCCTCTTGACTGTCTTCAAGCACAGAGCTGTAGCTCCACTTCAGCTTGCTTTGGGATTTAGTTAACAAGGAGTCATTTTTTTCCTGCAGTTTAAGGCCTCATTTACCTACCCTAATGGGCCATTTTAGCCACTCCAGTATATTTGAAGTGGTACAACCCTCCCACTGTGGGGAGTGGTGTAGTGGGATGTTATATAGGGGTATGGCTCTTATGGAAACAAGCTGTGTCAGTATGAGGCACCTGGTGCTTGTAAATCTATGTCCACAGTACATTTGGAACCACTACTACTAGTCTGGCCTAAAGTACTGCACTCTTGACCTGTCTGCTCTTTCTGTGGAAAACAAAAGGCCTAAAAACAAGGGATATACTGAGATCTATCAGCAGAGAGTCATCACACAGACAGTGCTATGAGGATCCAGTGCTCTTTACAGATTCTGTCCTAATGGTAATTGCTCTGAAAGGTTTTCCCTTCACAGAAGTGCCTCTCTTTCAGCAGTCCTTGATCTCCTCTCCCAGCAGACCACACTGCTCAGGATTTTTCTGAGCCACTCCCTGTTCTCCTGCAGCTCTCCCCTCAGTCTGTCATTACTCAGCTGCACGACACAGCCTGTGCTCACAGGGAGCCTGTGCTGCTGATGGGAATTGGGGTTGTGACTTGTAAGTGTAGAGTTCCCAGGGTGCCAGAAGTGTTTCTGCAGGCTACAGGCGATCAGTGATGTGGGATGTGTTATAGTTTTGGATGACTAATTCCTACAAAACACTGGCAAGCTTCCTCATAACAGCACTCCCGAGCAGCAAGTTACTGGAAGAATGGCTTTTAAGACTCAAACCTGCCTGGTATCCAGATGTTCACAGCCATTAAAGATCCTGACAGCCAATTTTCTGATGTATCAAATTTCAGTTCTGCTATTCTTATTCCATTTCCCCAAATTCCCTTTGGAATTTCAGCTTGGCATTTCCCTGCCCTCAATTCTGTTGTGAAGATGTGCTGTCCTGTTAAACTACTGC